CTCCCTCTCTAATACTGCCCCTCTCTAATACACCACCTTCTCTAATACACCCCTCTCTAATACACCACCTCTCTTATACATGCCCCTCTCTAATATATACCACCTCTCTAATACACCACCTCTCTAATGCATACACCACCTCTCTAATACTTCCCTCTCTAATACACACCACCTCTCTAATACACCACCCCCCCTCTCTAATACATATACCACCTCTCTAATACTCCCTCTCTAATACACCACCTCTCTAATACACCACCACTTCCCCCTCTCTAATACATACACCCCCTCTCTAATACTCCCTCTCTAATAAACCACCTCTCTAATACATGCCCCTCTCTAATACACCACCTCTCTTATACATGCCCCTCTCTAATATATACCACCTCTCTAATACATGCCCCTCTCTAATACACCACCTCTCTAATACATGTCCCTCTCTAATACACCACCTCTCTTATACATGCCCCTCTCTAATGTACCACCTCTCTAATACATGCCCCTTTCTGATACACCACCTCTTTTATACATGCCCCTCTCTAATACACCACCCCTCTTATACATGCCCCTCTCTAATATATACCACCTCTCTAATACATGCCCCTCTCTAATACATGCCCCTCTCTAATACACCACCTCTCTTATACATGCCCCTCTCTAATATATACCACCTCTCTAATACACCACCTCTCTAATACACCACCTCTCTTATACATGCCCCTCTCTAATATATACCACCTCTCTAATACACCACCTCTCTAATAAGTCCCCTTCTCCTTATACAATACAGTTCCCACATGAATTGGTAACATATGGTGGAAATGGTCAAGTGTTTTCTAATTGGGCACAGGTGAGTCAGGAATTCAGGAGTATGCCAGGGATTTGTCAAGACACATATTCAATCTGACCAACCACCTGTCTCAGTGTAAACACAAGGGCCTTTGCTTGATAGTTGCATCTCTACCAATGAAAGCTTGTTCATATTATTGGCACTACCTACACTGGCACACACAATTCAAGATTATATCCAGATAAACCAGCGAGAATAGCACAATCTATACTAGCAATAGTTCTGCAAACAAATTATGCGTATTTGTAAACACGAACCTCATGATTTATTTATTTATTTACTTTCAGTTTCGTCTGGTGATGCATTACCTATCAATCATGACAGATGAACAAACGCTGGTCATGTACTCAGGACATCCGTTAGGACTGTTTCCCAGTTCCCCATCCAGTCCTCGCGCTGTCGTTACTAACGGAATGGTAGGTACATGTAGTGTAACACAGAAAACTCAATATTTTCTGAGGGCTGAAACAGAACGCGAATTTTTCGGTACATTTGTAGGTTGCTTTGTCAAATAACTTATTACCAAACGGCGGATGCCTCACGCCCAAAGAAATCTGCCTACGCGTTTTGCTGCTAAAATATCAAACTATTATTAGCTATCCTCAGCATAATTCCTCGCGGACCAAAAACCAAGATGTCAATTTTAAAGCATCCACGGTTTAGGTAATAGCGCGTTTCTCTCTATCGTCATACATCTTCCGAACTTCAAATACTTCAACTTTTCTTAGAGAAGTAGGTAGGAACATTATTGTCAATAGAAACTTGCCCTATGCTAATTTGTAGTCGACAACGTAGGTGAGTTGTGTCCTTGATTTACACAGTACAACTCAAATTGTAAGCAAGTTGCATGCGACAGTTTTAGGCAAAAGTTGCGTGGTGTGAATCGGCCTTGGACGTTACTTTTATAGAGACTGGCCTATGGTTAGTTAAAGTCGTTCAACTTTATTTCACAGATGATTCCAAACTACTCCAGCAAAGAGAACTATGATAAACTGTTCGCCCTGGGAGTGACCATGTATGGCCAGATGACCGCTGGTAGTTATTGTTACATTGGTCCCCAGGGTATAGTCCATGGTACCACACTCACTGTATTGAATGCCGCACGACGTCATCTTAATACGTCAGAGCTTGCTGGTCGTGTATTTCTCACTTCCGGTCTGGGTGGCATGAGTGGTGCCCAGGCGAAAGCTGCCACCATATGTGGTTGTGTTGGAGTCATTGCTGAGGTGAGTGCTCGAATTTTGGAATTAAGTAAATGACCTTTTCAATGATAATGAGGTCATCTTGAATCCTAATGCATTGTGGTCTAGTGATGGTAAATACTACCGAGTGTCCCAAAAAAACTGGACACCGTTTGATTTGATGTAATGTAAAAGCTATAAAAGCTATCGCGATGAAATAAAGATCATTGCATTCAGAAAGGACTAACTTAGATTTTGATATATAACACTTGAATTTACATGCAATACACCGTTCGAGTTTAAATACTATACCGTTTGATTCAGGTCAATAAAACTGCGCTGGAAAAACGCCATAACCAGGGGTAAACATTTTTTGAACATCTTTAAATTTTGCAAAGCAATTTTAGACGATATAATTGATTGACATAATGCAGGGTTATTGTGGTGATGTATAAAACATTCTTCTTTTTTTGAAGGTGGCTGATGGAAATCGCTGACAGCCTTGATAAATGCATTGAGAGAATAAAGTAAGCACGACATACCACTATTATGTACATCCAATCGTTTATTCTTAATCTTTGAAAATATTTTTATGTGCAGGGAAGCAAGAAAAGAGAAGAAACCGTTAAGTCTTGGTTTTCATGGAAATATCGTAGATCTTTGGTAAGAACAAGAAGTTTCTGTTGGATATCCGCTGGATACCTCGAGGATACATGTTTCTCATAGTTATATCTCTGAGAAAAAATTATTTCCCAGGAAATTCGGAAACGTTAATTTGTTTCCCTTTTTGTTGCGGAAGAAATGTCATCTGGTTTGCCACTCTCAAAACAACCGATATTTTCTTTTTCTACAGGGAAAGGCTTGCAAGCGAGGATGAGATGTTAGTAGACATGGGTTCAGATCAAACCTCACTTCACAATCCATACAATGGCGGCTACTATCCAGCTGGGCTCACTTTTGAAGAAGCCAATCAATTGATGACGAATGATGCGGGGAAATTTAAGGATGCTGTTCAAACGAGGTGAAGTTCGGGCCATTGAAGGCACACAGTGGTTGGCGCATGTGCGACCGATTTAAATTTGCAATCCCCACATTCAATGATAATTTCGTTAATACAAGACTTAAATCACTTTAGTTTAAAACGACAAGTGGCCGCCATTAATAAGTTATCATCGCGAGGAATGTACTTCTTTGATTATGGAAATGCATTTCTACTGGAAGCAAGCAGAGCTGGTAAGTGTTATAAATAGAAGAAAAGAGTACTAGTTGAAGAGTGTTTCTTAACACGTAGAAAATATTTGATGTTAAGGTGCTGATGTTGGTCTAAAAGAAGATGGAACATTTCGGTATCCTTCTTATGTGCAGGATATAATGGGGTATGTCCCTGAAATACTTCATTGAAGTATAGGATAAATATTTTTTCAATCTTTTTTCTTCCAGTTTATTTTTTTCAATCAATGCATTGTACCTTCTTTACATGCTTCCCTTCTAGTTTTCCCCGTCTCTTCGTTTGTATTCCTGTGTAACTTTCATTAATCTTATGTGTTTCAGCAATATATTCTCACTTGGGTTCGGACCATTCCGGTAAGTAGACACGTATTCTCACTGAATCAATTCTAAGAAGTTTTATGTCAAAGATAAGTACAGCATAGTTCTTGGAATTTTGTTAAGGTGGGTTTGTACGTCAGGATTTCCTGAAGATCTCGAAGTGTCAGATAAAATTGCCACTGACGTTTTGGAACACATCATGAAACAAGGAGGTAAGATCACTAAAGCCCCGTTTACACTACGCTCAATTTTTGGTACGGCACGGATAAAACTGGTACCCGCATCACTGTTTTGGTTCTTGGACCACCTATTTAGCTTAGCCCCGTTTACACTACGCTCAATTTTTGGTATCGTACCATACCAAAAGTGGTACGGGTACCAATTTTATCCATGCCGTACCAAAAATTGAGCGTAGTGTAAACGGGGCTTAAGTTACAAGAGCGAATCACAGGGCTCCGTTGGTTTGAACATGGAAGCCATGTTGGAAGAACATTAACAAAATACCATTAGCAGCTATTGTATTTGGAGCGTGTTTTCCTCCAACACGGCTTGATGACAACTTGCTACAAGGTTGATGAGCTCAACAGACTTGTTACAAGTTGTTCCAACAAATAACAACATTGTTACAACTTGTTGACAAGCTTGTTGATAAGTTGTGAGATTTTTACGTGTGATACAAGATTTCATATTTTGCATTCTGTGTCTAGTTCCAAAAGAAGTGAAACCACAGTATGAAGACAACATCAACTGGATTAAGAAAGCTCAAGAAAATAAGTTGGTTGTTGGTTCACAAGCTCGTATTTTGTATTCTGATCAAAACGGAAGAGTGGCAATCGCTCTGGCATTCAATGAAGCGATTGCAGACAAGAGAATTAAAGTAAGTGAAGAGAAAGTGAGAAGGAAGATATTCAACAGGGTACTCCACTTCGCATTCATAAGAATTGGCTATTATCAACTGAAGCCCTTAAGAATATGAAGAAATATCTCTCCTAGCTTGCAACCTTATATTTGGCGTTTTCTTCATAGGGTCCCATCGTTGTAAGTCGAGACCATCATGACGTCAGCGGGACAGACAGGTAACTATAGCAACAGTATACCTTTCATGATCACCTCGATGACCGGACAGTGTATGGCAGTGTATGCATGGTTCTACTCCTGCAATATTAACATTCTACGTAGGCTAGCCAGTTAGAAAAACACGGTTCTGCACAAGCTTGTGAGTACAAGCAGTATTCCTGCTCAAGTCATCGTCGAAATGTTTCATTGCTTGTTTCTTTGTTTCCCAGCCCATACCGAGAGACATCGAATATTTTTGATGGGTCCAATATTTGCGCAGGTAAACTACAGTATTTCATGAATTTGATTGAACATTATTCATTAATGATTGTAATAAAACAAATCGATATGGTATTTTTAAGACATGGCTGTACAAAACGTCATCGGTGATTCATTCCGCGGCGCAACTTGGGTGAGCCTGCACAATGGTGGTGGCGTTGGTTGGTAAGTGATGGTATTTGACGTTTCACTTAAGTATTCTCCTTCCTCTCTGTCACTCTCCTCCTACCCTCGTCCTACCCTACCCCTCCTCCTACCTACCCCCTCCTCCTACCCTACCCCTCCTCCTACCTACCCCCTCC